CCCCAAAACCCCAAAACCCCATAAAACTCTGTAATGTCTATCTTATAGAGTACAGCTTTTAAATAGCTTAAAAATTATATATAAAATTATAATGGAAAATTTAGGCCAAAGTTAATACAAAAAAATGGATTAAGATTTATTTTCGGGTTTATTATCAACTAAAGACTAAGAAGATATTAAAAAATATGGCCCTGATGATAGTAGAGTAGAGAATCAAAATAAAGTTATTCCAAAATGGGCTTACTTGGCATTTATTGTTGCAGGTGCCTCAGGTGCAATGGATGGACCCTTCAGTCAATTTCTATAGGCTAATAATCCATTTCTGAAGATGGCTTGGAAATTCCAAGGTGTATTTTTCTTGTTTCTCATTATTTATGTCTTCCTTGTAGCAATAAAAAAGAGAGGTATTATTGGGTAATTTTCTCAATGGAAAAATACATATTAGACCTATCTAAATCTGCTTATCGCATCAATAGGTCTCATAGGCATGTAATCATTTTTATCTTGGGGTGCAGCATACACTATCATGTCTCATGCTAATTTATTTTCTAGTTTGACTGCAATGCTAGTTGTTTCATATAAGTTATTAACCTGCTCTTAAATTACAAGATGTGAAATAATAGGTACTGTGATTTCAATTATTGGTTGTGGGTTAACCACATAGGATCCTCATGCTGAAAAAACTAATGATGAGCTAAATGATATTGCTTACGGAAACATTCTGTCATTCGTGTCATCAATTTTTGCTACGCTTTACATTTTAAAAGGATAAGAAGAGTCATTAAAATTAGATCCGATGCAATACTTTTTGACTTTAAATTTCTTCACAAGTGTAAACTTCATATTATTTGGATGTCTCTTCGTAGAGGATTCTTTTTATTTAAGTTAAGATCCTGTAAAAGGAGTGTTTGGCTGGATTCATCCTGAAAATATTGTCTATTCAGTTGTTGTAGTAAGTTTTGTGAATGGAGTGGGAACCCTCTACCTACAGTATCTTGTATTCAAAAATTTCTCTCCTGTTATTGCTGGTTCAATGATGCTACTTGAACCCTTATTCAGTCAAATTTATGGTATTATACTTGGACTCGATGAATATCCTGGATTTTTGACATATTTTGGTTCATCACTCATTATAGTGGGATTATATTTATTACTTAGCCATCCTAATAGACCATTGTGAAATTTTAGTTTGAAAAATTTTAATTTCCTTTGATTTCTTAAATGTAATCTCATTTATTGACTATTACTAGGATTCTTGGGGTTTTGGGGTTTTGGGG